TAAACTGCACGAATGACTTGGGCTATGGAGACTAGGGAGGATTCGAATAAATCCCCTTATTCTGGTGTTTCTTTCTACCGAACGGGTAGCTGTTCTGTAGTTTCTATACGAATTTAAGGGTAGTGTGGAGGTCTCAGCGGTGTTTGCCTAGTCGAGTGTCCGATTTGCGTTCCAGACACTCGACGGCAAAACACAGCTGTTCGGGAGTTTAAAATGGCGGGCCACCACGTGTTCGTCTCCCGAATGGCGGCCACCCACAGGATAAAGCACATACTACACGAATTGCCAATTACCCGTTTACAACATTGTTGCGAACGGTAATTGGAGGCACACTTACTCCTGGGGTGGTCTGATTGTTCAGTAGTTTCACTCGCATAATAACTGGAGTGATTTTACCGAACAATCAGAGGAATGCTGCATACATTTCACATACACATGGTACAATTCAAACGACCACATAGGAATTATATATAATTTTGACGACAGCCCAATGTCATCCGCTACAGCTATTAGTTACATAGTTATATAGTTACATAGTTACATAGCTGAAAAGAGACTGGCGTCCAAGTTCAGCCTACCCCACATTTGTTTTTTGCTGTTGATCCAAAAGAAGGCAAAAAAACCCAGTTTAAAGCACAATTTTGCAACAAGCTAGGAAAAAAATTCCTTCTTGACCCCAGAATGGCAGTCAGATTTATCCTTGGATCAAGCATTTATTAATAGTTTAATTGATACGCTTTTATGAAGAAGTGGATTTTTAATGATTTTTTTGAAGGAGTGGAGACTGGGTGAGCATCTAACGGAGGAGGGAAGTGAGTTCCACAGAAACGGTGCAGCCCTCGAGAAATCTTGAAGGCGAGCATCAGAGGTGGGAGTACGGACAGAAGATAGACATTATTCTTCAGCAGAGCGTAAGGGCTAGACGGGACAAACTTGTGTATTAGGGAGGATAGATAGGTGGGAGCAGAATTATGTAGAGATTTGAAAGCAAGAAACAGAATTTTAAATTGAGCCCTATATCTTACAGGAAGCCAATGTAGGACTGACAGAAGGGTGAGGCGTGGGAGGTGCGGGCGGACAGGAAGATGAGCCTCACCACCGCATTCATTATGTACTGTAAAGACGCAAGTTGGGAGCACGTAAAACCACTGAGAACTGGATTACAGTAGTCAAGGCAAGAAAGGACAGTGGAATGGACCAGCACCTTAGTAACATGTGGCGTTAAGCAGGGTCGGATGCACGCAATGTTTTTGAGATGTAAGCGGCAGGATTTGGCGATAGACTGAACATGAGGCCTGAAGGAGAGGTCAGAGTCAAAGAGAACACCTAGGCAGTAAGCCTGCGTGGTGGAGCTGATGGTAGCACCGTTGACTTGGAGGGAGACAGACACAGGAGTAGCAACACTTGAGGGAGGAAAGACCAAAGTTCCAGTTTTGGTCAAGTTGAGTTTAAGTTAGAAATAGCAGAGCGGCAGAGACACTAGTCAAGAGGGATGGGTAGAGATTAGGAGAGGACAGATAGATTTGCGTGTCATCCTCATAGAAATGATATTGGAAGCCAAAGGAGCTAATGAGTTTACCAAGGGAGGCAGTATAGATGGAGAACAGTAGAGGACCAAGAACTGAAACTTGGGGGACACCAGCAGAGAGGAGTTGGGGAGAAGAACCAGAGCCAGGGAAAGAAGCACTGAAAGAGTGCTGAGAGAGGTAGGAGGAGCACCAGGAGAGAGCAATATCTTGTAGATCGATATTACGGAGGATGTCAAAAGCTGCAGAAAGGTCAAGGAGAATTAGGATAGAGTAGTGACCACAAGATTTATTGATCATTGGATACTTTGGTCAGTGCCGTTTCCACAGAGTGCTTAGCGCGGAAACCAAACTGAAGTGGGTCTAGCAGAGAGTTGGACTTGAGGAAGTCTGTCAGTCTCGCATACACAACTCTTTCAAGGATCTTGGACACAAAAGGCAGTAGCGAGCTAGGACAGTAGTTGGATGGGGAGTTAGGTTCAAGGTTGGGTTTTTTTAGAATTGGGGTTATAGTTGCATGTTTGAAGGGCAATGGAAATATGCCAGAGGATAGAGAGAGAGATTGAGAATTATAGTGAGAGGTAGAGAAAGAGAAGAAGACAGAGTACAGATGAGATGCGAGGGAATTTGATCTAGGGAGCAGGTGGTGGGGCAGGAGGACTGGAGCAGAGCAGAAAGCTCTTCTGCTGTAGCGGGTGTGAATGAACATAGAACAGCAGAGAGAGTGAGGTTAGGGGAAGTATTGTAAGGGGAAGAAGAAACTTGAGAGTTCTCTTCCCTGATTGTAGAGATTTTGTCAGTGAAGTGGGTTGCAAACAATAGGGTGAAGAAGAGAGTCAATTATGTGAAATAGTTGTTAGGGTTCGCAGGAGAGTGTGGTTATGAGGTTATTGAATATTGAAGTAATTTACTTTTGCAGAGGAAAGAGCACTTGTATGAGTGCAGCATAAATTTATAGTGGAGAAAGTCAGACGCACAGACTTTCCCCAACAGCGTTTAGCAGTTCTGGATCATTTTTGGAGGTATAGAGTCATCTTGGTGTGCCAAGGTTGTTGTTGGGGGCGCTTTCTGCATTTAAATGTAGAAGGTTCCATGATGTCTAGTTGAGAGGAGAGGGTGGAATTGGAGAAGGAGGTTCCAGAGCTCGGACAGGTGAGGTTTGAGATAGGTAAAAGAAGAGTTTAGAGATTAGTGGAGAATTACTCTAGGTCAAGACATTGGAGGTTTCTGTGAGATTGATGTTCAGATGGTGGGGTCAATTGGGCCTTATTTATGCCAATGTCAAAAGTCAGCAGATGGTGATCAGACAGAGGAAAAGGAATATTGGAGAGATTAGAGGCAGTACAGAGATGGGTGAAGACAAGATCAAGAGTGTTTCCCACTGTATGGGTTGCTAAATTGGACCATTGCGTAAGGCCAAAGGAGGAGGTTACAGAGAGCGAGGCATCAGTGTAGTTGGGGTTGTTGATTGGGATATTGAAATCCCCAAGTATAAGGGAAGGAGTGCAAGATGAGACGAAGTGGGGAAGCCAAGAAGAAACGTGCTCAATGAATAGTCTAGGGTGACTGGGGGCGGGGGGGTGGTAGATGATAGCAATTCTTAAAGGAGTGGGTTTAAATAGGTGGACAGTGTGAACTTCAAAAGAAGAAAAGGATAGGGAAGGGCGAGTTATGATTGGTTGAAAGGTACATTGAGGGGAGAGAAGGATGCTTACACCAGCTCCTTCACAGTTGAGTCTGGGAGTGTGAGAGAATTGGAGCCCACCAAAATATAAATAGGCAGGAGTAGCGCTATCAGACTTTCTTACAGCAGTTTTGGGGCTTGATAGTTTGGAAATCAGGCTATTGAATAAAGATATGTGAGGGTCAGATAGGCTTGCAATAAAGCTGAAGAAGGGGGATGTGTATCTAGGCACAGAGATGAATGGATGGTTATTCAAGTAAAAACAAACATATCAATAAAAGAAGGGAGAGTTTTATTGTGGTCTTCCAGAAGGCCATCTTGGCTTATTTCAGATGATAAGCTGATGGAGCACTGACTTTCTTACAGCAGTATTGGGGCTTGATAGTTTTGAAATCAGGCTTTGCTTATTGCAGACGATCAGCTGATGGAGCACTGACTTTCTTACAGCAGTACTGGGGCTTGATAGTTAGGAAATCAGGCTTTGCTTATTGCAGACGATCAGCTGATGGAGCACTGACTTTCTTACAGCAGTATTGGGGCTTGATAGTTTGGAAATCAGGCTTTGCTTACTGCAATCAGCTGATGGAACACTGACTTTCTTACAGCAGTATTGGGGCTTACTTTACAAAGAAAACGTAGTTGTGTGTCAGAAGAGTTATGAATTAGGAATACAAATTGGATAGCAAATGTCTAATAATAAGATGTCAGACGGTATAGCTCGATGACCATAATATAGACAAACAGAGAGAATTTGATAAACATCCTACGTGGAAGCATCCCACCCCCAATGAGGTCATGTTCTCCTCCACCAATGACTGGTTCATCCGCATCTCCCCTTTGCTCAAGCAATAGAAAAGCAGGCAGCATCCATCCAACTATGTCAGGATCAAGCAGCAGTTGCAGCAATAAAAATTGGACACAATGGAGAGGTGTAAACCATGATAGAGCTTTGAACACAGACGTGGCTGCCCACGTGGATAATAAGAACGGCAAAGATTCATCTAATGTTCAAAACATATAAGGGATGTGCATGGGCAAAAAATTTGGTTTGGTTCAGTTCGGAAATTCGGGTAAGAAAAATATTTGGGACTTCAGCAATTCGGAACTTCGCAATTCGTGACTTCGGCAATTTGAAACTTTGGCAATTAGGGACTTTGGCAATACGAGACTTTCTGAACATTCTGAACATCTGTAGGGCTCACTGACTCTAACCCTACCCCTAACCCAACCCCTAACCCATCTGTAACGGCACCCCCAGGCATAAAAGGGTTAAACCGCCGTTTAGAAGATCTTCCCCTTCCAGAGATACAGGCACAGCTACTGCAGAACACCAAACTCCCAAACTGCATACAAGGGAATGCTCCAAACTCCCGAACTGCATACAAGGGAATGCTCCAAACTCACAAACTGCATACAAGGGAATGCTCCAAACTCCCGAACTGCATACAAGGGAATGCTCCAAACTCACAAACTGCATACAAGGGAATGCTTCAAACTACCGAACTGCATACAAAGTAGCACTCCAAACTCCCGAACTGGAACCTCACGAATAGCTGCTAGCAGACGAACAGGAAAAGCACCCAAGCGGCTTACACTCCTGGCAATCAGTCTCTAACAGCATACAGTAAATCCCCCCAAAGACGAGACAGAGCTCCGTGTTGAGGGTCAATCAGTGGTCTGGTTTAATGAGGGCTACCTGCCCAGTATTTATGCAGGTCTCACACCTGGTGGACACTCCCCTGGGGGACCAAATGGGAGACTGTGACAAAGGACAGACGTGAACCAATGACAGACACACAGAGGTAAAACATCCCCACAATGCATCCTAACTTCCCTCCCTCTGTCCTGGAGACTATTGGGAAGTAATCCAATCATCTCCCAGGACAGAGGCAAAACTCCATTAACCACATGGCAGTAAAAGACAGTGAAAGACATAAAAATGTATAAAGTTACAACTGTTGCACAAAACATATACATTCTACCTATCCCCAGATAGCTTAGATCTGAGCGAACAGAAGTACTGAATAGCGCTCAGATCCTATGCACACAGTCGAATCGCCATGGAGTTAAAGTGTTCACAAAGTCTGTTCTCCATACGAATAGAGTCCACGGGATGGCTATCTGGGGTATCTGGGGTAATGCTGTTCATACGGTTTAACTACTGAATGAACAGGCATCCGGTTAAATGACCGAATGCAGAAGCAAGAAGACTTTTAACATGGGGCCATAGTCCAAAGGCAACAGGCGAGCAACCAGGCTTCTCCAATGCAATGTGGCGAGATTGGTCTCATCACACCATCCCCTAACCCTAACTCTACCCCTAAACCTACCCTTAACCCTACTCCTAATCCTAACCCTACCCCTCTCATCATTCACGTAATTTTCCCTGCCTCTCTTGTTTTGCCACTTCGTCTATTTAGCACTTCTGCAATTCGGCAATTTGGTTCGGTTCAGCACTTCGGAAATTCGGCACTTTGGCAATTCGGCACTTCAAAGCATTTTAAAGCATGTAGAAGCCAAATTCACATTTGGAACGAAACAAATTGCACATGTCTAAAACATATTGAAACTCCAACATGCTGAGTGAAACCACGTAATTCTTAACATTCCGATCCAAAAATTGTTAACATTAATTGTTTAGAGAATAGTCATTGTCATAACTAAAAATCAAAGTATTAATATATAAATTAATTAACCTATAATATTGTTTAAAAATGTTTATATCTAGTTTTGATGTTTATATTGTGAGGTAAATTTATTTTCATTTTATTTAAAGGTGACAATTTAATGATTTATACAGGAGATACCCTATAATAAACAATCATTTTAAGGGTCTAATTCTATGAAAATATTTGCTATTCTATTCAACTACTGAGATGACTGTCATGGTTATTTACTAAAGTGAGAATTCAAAGTGAATTTCACATTTACAGAAACTCTATAGGAGTCCTACTTTGTAGTACCTATGCTTCTTGGAGTGTTCCTTTTTTATATTCATGCTATTATTATCATAAAAATTTTCAACTCCAGGTCCACTTATATTTGAGATTGGTCCATAGAAATGTATTTGCTCATGATCATAATTTGCCTCTGTGCCCCAGATCACAGAGTCCTCTTCCATTCCCATCTATGTTCTGTTCTACCTACGCCTTGCCCGAATCTCAGGAAGCCGTGCTTCAACCCAGAAACTGGACACCTTGATTTGGTCAGTGACATATAATATCTAACATTGACTAAGCTATCCTTAGACTGGTATGTGGATATCCTATCGACTGACTTCCAGACATGCAGTTCTGGGCACAGGGCAGGCATTTTTTTTAATTCTTTTAGCCCTGCCACAGACAAGGGGCAGGGCACACTTGGGGGTAATTTGTGCCACAGCATGAGAACTGGCACATCAGTATTCACTCCATCAAGGTCCAGAGCTCTATAGTGAGTTAGAGTACAGCCACCTGACTTGATAAATGCCATACTGTAAGAAAGCAATTACTGAGGTCTGCATCAGTCTGAGATGCATTGATGTCTTTGAGTACAAAGTAATGTCGGTATAATTTTAGGTTTTTCTTCAGTAACATAACTGTGTCAGCTACTAGGGCACAGAGAGACAGGAAATGCATTAGTAAAAATGCCAACATCTTTTTTAAGTCAAAGACAGTCCAGATCACTGCACACCTCTAAAAAAAAAGGACATGCTTACATGTAGGTCACAGCAAATACAGAAATACTAGCATCTCTAGACAATGCATTACAGCACGTTTCCTAAAACAACAATTACTATTTACAATTTTAACCTTTCTGAAATGTCATCCGGCTTTGCAGTTGAACAAGCTCCTGGATGTGTGAAGGACTCTTCTTATTTAACAGCTGATGCATCCTGCTTTTTTTTTTGTTAAGTGTATGAGCAAGTCAAGATGTGACCATCTTGGTGACTTACTGTACCCGTAGAAGTTCTTCAGTGCATTAGATAATGCTATTAATAATGTATTGTAATATTGCCATGTAGAGCTGACTAAGCAAGGGGAAAGAGTTCAGGCTTTAAAATAAACTACTATGAGAACTTCCAGTTTATCGTAGCTTTCCAGGCTGAAAATAAAATGATTGAGTGACTTTTCCAAGGTGACATTGGGATCTAACCATCTTGCCTCATATAACAATCTGATGCAGAGGAGCACAATAGAATATATTTTCCATTTAGATGTCTAATTACCAGTAGGTAAATGTATAGTTGTGAAGTTGAGCACATGTTAAAGAACTACTCCAAGCACCTTGACCACTTGAGTTTTTTTAAGTGATCATGGTGCTTGGTGTCTGTATGTGCATCGCTCCAGTATGAAATGCTACACATACAAATGTTTAGGTTATCTGCAGGAGGTGTCTGTGAATATTTCTTTGCACAGACCCTCATTCATTGGCTAGAATTCTCAGATGACTCTCTCAGCCAATGAGAGTGTTTAATTTAAGCCGCCATCCTGGGAGGCTCAGCACTTGTGTGTACTCAGTTAAGAGAAAAACCATTGCAAAACGGTTTATTCCATTACCACAGAATGGAGCCAGGCTACTCTTACCATCATAAGCTCTACAGCAGACTGTAGTAGTTTATGATGCATTGGAATAACACATTATTGCTGTTTTCCCAAATAAGGGCTTGTGACAGACCGCCTGGTACCCCGCTTAGGGACCTCCGCCAATCACGCTTCCTAGTTATCACCGAGTACCATAAGCACTTCACCAGGACACCATAAGCACTTCCAGCCCCTAGCCAACACAGCTTGGCTGGGGTCTCGCCGTCTCTGTCCACCCTGGACCCAAGTCCTGGTTCCAGCTCCCAGTGGATAGACCTCTCCTCCAGAGAGTATAGCTGTTCCCACCACACATGAGCCGTGGGCTTAATGCTGGTAAGTAGTCTTTTTTTTTCAGGGCCTGCTTTTTATGCAAAAGTCCCTACATGGGGTTTCCAATACAGAATTACAGGCTAATTCCACCCATGATCATCTGTGTTTGAGGGATAATTACCTTGAAAAAATTTATAAATTATCTCTGAGGTACAGAAAAATCTTCAATATTTTACAAATCTCAAAAAAACACATAATACAACCATGTACCCCCTTAGTCGTATATCCCCAGATAGCCTGGATCTGAGCGCACAATATATCCAAAAAGCAAATACAGTCGAAACACCACCAGGGTAAAGTTTTAACCAACCGCACATGAGGCTCCTGCTTCCGGGTGGTCTTTAGTTTGTGGATTTGTTTGGTTCCCGAACAGTACAGAGAAACCACATAAACAGAGTCTTTTTAAATGCTTTTTACAGGGCCCATTGTCTTTAGGCAGGAGGCTACCCTTCAGGCTCCTCCAGTAACACGTGACAGAGGCATCTTTGTCACAGGGCTTGTTTCCAATATGATTGCTAAATATCAGCCATAATCTATTGTTATTACTAACAGTAAAATGGCAACTGTAATGCCACCATTAATTCTTCCTCAAGTCTCAATCTGAAATTGTAGTCAGCAGATCTCCTACACCATTCACATCCTCCGGAAATGCCTCATTAGTTGTCTATGAGTCTTGATGGACCAAATAGGTAACTTTGTACTTTCAATGTTACCTACTTTCAATGTCACTTATGCAAGAAGCACTGATTATGTAAGGCAAATTTTTTTTCTAAAGAGCGCTGTTTTTTGATTGTTCATTTGCAATATTTAAGTTTAAATAAGTATTCTTTTTTCAAAGTGAAAAGGATGTATTTTTGACATACGTTATTACCTCCATTGTGAAACTATCAGTTTCATTTTCAATCAGGCATTAACTTACTTTAGAAGAAAGGTGTGGCTAGGACTGTATAAATAAAGTGATTTAACTCAGAGAATTGTGCAGTGAGACTTTACACCAATATATGCCTATAGGTAGAGGTTAACACAGTAGAGGAGTTTAAGCATGCGTGGGATAGACATAAGGCTATCATAACTATAAGATAAGGCCAGGGACTAATGAAAGTATTTAGAAAATTGGGCAGACTAGATGGGCCGAATGGTTCTTATCTGCCGTCACATTCTATGTTTCTATGTTTCTATGTTCCTTTAATGATGTCTATTTCATTATTCCATTATTTTCATCTAGAATATAAACCATTCATTATAAATTACATTATTTTAGCAACCTCTTGTCTCTCTGGGACTAACCCAAAAATGTAATTTAATTGTGTATGATGCATTTACATGTTACTGTATGGTTAATGTATTCAGTGCTGTATTCAATATTATTATTATTAGTAGTAGTATTTATATAGTGCCAACTCATTCTGCAGATCTTTAAAATATTATGAAAGGGGGAAATTTAACAATAAATGAGACAATTACAAAATGTTAAAGGAAGAATAGGTAGACGAGGACCCTGCTCAGACGTGCTTACAGTCTAAAGGCCAATGGATAGCTGATATGTCATTTGTTTTCAAGTATGATTTTTCATGATAGAAAAAATATATTTGGTTTCTTTATATTGCTTTGCAGTCTGCTTTATTTGCTCAGCAAGTGGCTCTCACATGATCTTGCATAGATCTCAATGCTTTACTCTTGTAAATCTAATATATAGGTGTGCAATCGACATTTAAACCCAATAGTGTGAGTGTAGATTAAAAGTCAATACGTATAAGTGACCAAATGTTTCCAAATAAACAGGAAACAATCTTGCTACCCATGACTGTCAGAAAACACACTGTTACATAGTGAGTAATGTAAAATATCCTTGCACAGAGAGTGATATGATGATCTTAAAGGGACTCTCCAGTGCCAGGAAAACAAATTTGTGTTCCTGGCACTGCAGTACCCTGCAGTGGTCCCCTACCCCCAACCACCCATCCCATGTTGCTGAATCCAGGCCTAATGCGCGCATTAGAACTTCTGCTTCCTTACATTGCCCGTTCAATCTTTATCTACGACCAGAAAGAAGAGACTCTGGTCTGGGAAGGTTTAGCTGCTGCATACTTAGAACACGTGCCAGAAATCTCACTTGCTGTTTAACTTTCAACGGATGAATCAGCTAGCAGCCGTGGGTGGCGATTCTTTAGCCATGCACCTTTAGCCAAGGCATACTTTTCAAGCAGCTGATGGAGGCCCTTGCTACCCAATATGATCTTCATGTATTCAGCAATTTTAGAAACAAAAATATACCTAAAAATATAAAATGGAGAAAGCACTCATAGGGTAATAACGTAATATTGTTGACCCCCAGAACTAAAGGTTGCACTCACAAAATGACAGAGTTCGGGGTCACCAGTAAACTATTGATTCCACCAGATTCGAATATCATTCATAAATCCAGAAATTTATGTATGAGGATTGAGAGGAATCCTTTGGTTATAGCATGCAACCAAAAAAAGGGGGTAATTACCTTTTAAATTGATTTTACACTTCTGCACCTGGGTGGTCTATACTCTTGTTTTGATTTTTTGTTTGTTTGTTTTTTCTATTCAGCAATTTTAGTAGGGGTGCAAACTCCTTACTTTATTGTTCCTGTGTTGCAATATTGAAAGAAGAGCTGGCGAAGGCTGACCACAGTGAGCATTGATATTGAGCACTATTAGTTAGCAGCATGCGTTTCTCTCTCCTATGGCACTCTTTTGGCATCATAATGAGGATGTGAGTTGTATTAGTACATTGGCAGGCAGCACTGGCGATGAATGGGAGGGTTGGTGACAGGTCAGTAGGTCAGCCAGGGGAATGATCACTCCTTTTCCATGCTGACATGAAGGGGACTGTCTGCTGTCCATAGAGAGTGAGTGGTTTGCCTATTGCCACTAGAAAATCCACACAGCAGTATGCAGCTTACTTACAGCATTGCATTTTTAATTTTATTTTTAAAGAACAGAATAATGAAAATGGAATAATCCAAACAGCATACTTTTTTTCCTAGATGATCCAAGACCCAAAGCAATGGATTATTACCAATGTGTATGTAGAAGTGCTCACTCCCATTCTTCTACATAATAGTGAATGATGGATGTGAAAATGCCATATTCAGTGGTCAGAGATGGGATAATAATAGTTAATAAATGTCAGAGAATGTAAAAGTGCCCATAAAATGACAGCAGACACAGCTGTGTACCAAATATCATATTCCACAATACTTAAGGGACACAGTAGGCACCCAGACCACTTCAGCTAATTGAAGTTGTCTAAGTGCTGTGTCCCTATTGCACTTTTACTTAGTGTAAAACATTGCAGTTCCATAGAACCCCTTGAGCCCCGCGGGAGTGGGGCGCAAGGGAGGGGGGACCTATTAAACCTATAGTGCCAGGAAAACGTCTTTGTTTTCCTGGCACTATAGGATCTCTTTAGAATGTAGAAAAACATTCTTTGCAGTGACATGACTGAATATTTACCATCTCATTCCCATTAGTTTCATGGAAATACATTGCTTGTTAGCCGAACTTTCAAAATTTATATTTACAGAAATTAATTGAATATCTTTAACATTTGTGCTGAAGTCAGGATGATTGTACTGATTGCTCTCAAATTGCATGAAAAGTTAAAAAAATAATAATAATTCTAAGCAGTGGTATTAAAGCTCACAAAGAAAACAAAAACTATCCCTTACTGAGATAGTGAGTGATATACTAAAGTGCCTGAATAAAAGCAGCTCAACACAAAAAGTGGAATACCTTAATCCACAATGAAGTGCAAAATACAAGAAAATGCAAAATACAAGAAAAAAAGGTATAAACAATATACCAGCAAGTGGAGCGCTATATTGAATATATATATAAATAATGAGGGGGTATACTCACCCCTCCAACATAGTGATACAATGTGTCCAAATGTACATACAAAGTAAAACAACAAAAAGAGAGAATATAGTGCAGATGGTTTACAAAAAAATAAAAAATGAATAATGGTAGCAATTGGTTGAAACCACTCACGTGGGTTGGAGCCTATAAGCTATTGGCTCCGTAAGTGACTCCTTCTTGCTCTTGAGGCAGCAACACACCCCTTTATCCCAAACGATATTCTCCCGAAGATATGGAACAAACAGAGAGAGAGAACCTCATAGATGGTATTGTACAGATGGTGTATACAATATAGTGAGATAGTAATAGATATGCTCACCTTAGACAGAGCCTTGTGGTATTAAAGCTGCTTATTAAATTGAGCATTGAGTTCTGAAAAAAAGGCATTTTGTGTTGTTCTGTCACTTGATTTATATTAGTCGATTGAGTTACTTGTTCACATGTATGTCAGCTCATATATAATACCATAGAAATAATAAATAATCTATCTTAAAAAGATAGAACGTAGCCACCATCATTTTTACTTACCAGGTCCCTGTTGTTCCCCTGACAGCGGTCGTGATCCTGGGGTCTGCCTGGGAGCTTAGACAGACCCCCTCTACACGATGCAGCGCCCCCCCCCCCCAGGAATGTGATTGCAGGGTCCTCACGATCACATGGCCGGAATAGCCGTCTTATGCAGTGCCTGCAGGGGTCCTGCCATATAAATGTATATATATAATCTAAGTACTTTTAAAAACACATATACACACATCACTAATAAAAGTATTAATATTAAAATACACTTAAAATGAGGTTAATTATATATATAATTATATATAAAATAAAAATAATCAATAAATAAATAGACAAAAAATAATAAAAATACCAGTTTTAATTTGTTCTAACTGTATTTTGATATTAATATAATATACATATATATTACATTCAAAACACATTTAGAATGATGTTATGAATACATATATGTATCTATATATAGATATACAATGTCTTGATGGAGAGCACTCACAGGACTCCAGAATATTTCAAAAGTGCTTTTTATTTCAGCAATCAATGTTCAAATACAAAGTGTCGACGTTTCAGTCCAACCGGACTTGATAAAAGTCTTGATAAAAGTCCGGTTGGACTGAAACGTTGACACTTTGTATTTGAACATTGATTGCTGAAATAAAAAGCACCTTTGAAATATTCTGGAGTCCTGTGAGTGCTCTCCATCAAGACATTGTATACAAGGGACGGAGATTGCACCGAGGCATAAACAAGACCGGGAGCAGTGAGTGCAGGACACTTGGAAGTTTATATATATATATATATATATATATATATATAGCTATATATAAATACATATATATAATATAGATGAAAATTTATCCATACTTACCGTAATTTTCCTTTCCTGGTCATAGGCCATGGCAGCACAACAATGGGTTAGCTCCTCCCTATCCCTAATTAGACAGGAACAGAATTAAAATCAGGGGTATAAATACCCCCTCCCACCAATGGTCCCTTAGTCTTGTTAACAGCAATATCCCAGGGCGGGATCTAAGTGCTGCCATGGCCTATGACCAGGAAAGGAAAATTACGGTAAGTATGGATAAATTTTCATCTTTCCTGGCCATATCCATGGCAGCACAACAATGGGTAATACCCAAGCAATAACCAAGGGAGGGAATAAAGAAACACAGACTCAAGAACATTTGTAAATGCTGGTGTATTAGAAATCACACGTGCAAAAGAAATTAATCAAGAAGAGTTGACTGCGGGTAAGACTGATTTGCCAAAAGATTCTGATTGGCTGGCTTTAACGTCAATCCGGTAATGCTTAATAAACGTGTTTGGAGAAGACCAAGTGGCTGCTTTGCAAATCAGCTCGGGTGACAAATTAGCAGCTGCTGCCCAGGATGAGGAAAGGGACCTCGTGGAGTGAGCCTTGAGCCCCTCCGGAACTTTCATCTTTGAGGCTTGGTAAGCCTGAACGATGGCGGCAACAATCCATCTACTGATGGCCATCTTAGAAGCCTGAAGGCCTCTTCTGGGGCCGTTGGGGATAACGAATAGCCTTTGAGAAATCCGCCAGGCTGAAGATCTTTGTAGATAGACAGACAGACATCGAACAAGATCCAATGGAGAAGGCAGAGATTCATCATTCTCAGTAGAAGACTCTGAATGAAGAGCCGGAAGTATTATATCTTCGTTGATGTGAAAAGCTGACACCACTTTAGGATGAAATTCGGGAACAGTTCGCAAAACAACTCTGTCCTTATGAAAAACTGTAAAGGGCTCTTTCGTAGATAAGGCATGGAGTTCAGACACTCGTCTACCTGAGGCTAAGGCCACCAATAGAACCGTCTTAATGGTGAGTACCTGAGGAGAGATGGATTCAAGAGGCTCAAAAGGAGAATTGCTCAGAGCCCTTAATACCAAGGGAAGATCCCATGGTGGAGCGAAGGGCTTGATAGGAGGCTTGATTTTCAAAACTGCTGCCATAAATCTGATCACATCTGAGTTTAAGGCCCATCTCTGGTCCGTAAGGGCCGAAAGAGCTGAAATATGTACCTTCAGGGTATTGTAGCTTAGACCCTTATCCAGACCGGATTGTAGAAATTCAAGGATCTCCTTGGTGGAGATAGACTGAATATTCCTGTGGTTGGATGCAGCCCAGGAGGAAAAAACGTCCCAGATTCTGTAGTAAGTGGAAGATGTAGAGCGTTTCCTTGCTTGCAGTAGAGTTTCAATGACAGAATGGGAAAATCCCTTGCAGTTCAACCTCTCCCTTTCAATTTCCATGCCATCAGCTTGAGGGAGGCAGGGTCTGGATGGAGGACAGGACCCTGATGTAGAAGGGACGGAATATTTGGAAGCTGCCAGGGGTCTGTGCTGCAGAGGCTCAACAACAGAGGAAACCACGGCCTGCGAGGCCAAAAGGGGGCTATGAGGATGATGGATACCTTCTCCTGCCTCAATCGTCTCAGAAGAGGAAAGATGAGGGGCGTAGGAGGAAATGCGTAGCCCAGGTGAAAATCCCAATCGATTGAAAGAGCATCCCTTCCTGATGCTTGGGGATCGATGCCTTTTTGAAAAGAAGTGCTGCACCTTCCTGTTCTTGTGCGTTGCCATAAGGTCAACTTGTGGCATGCCCCATACTTGAGAAATGTCTTCGAACACCTTGTTTGACAGACTCCATTCTCCTGGATCTAATTCCACTCTGCTCAGGTAATCCGCTATGGAATTCTGGACTCCTGGAAGATGGATCGCTGATAGGCCCGCAAGATGCTTCTGGGAGAAGGACATTAGGGGCTTCATGATGGACATCATTTTCCGACTCCTTGTTCCCCCTTGATGGTTTATGTAGGCAACTACAGTGGAATTGTCTGATCTGATCTTGATCCACTTGAAGCGTATGAGGGGAAGGAAATTCTCTAGAGCCTTTAGAACTGCCAGAAGCTCTAATTGGTTGGAGGGAGTCTCTGTTACTGGAAAGGACCATTTCCCTTGTGTAAACTGATCTTGTAGGTGGGCACCCCATCCCCACTGGCTTGCGTCCGTGGTAATAACTGTCCATGTGATGTTCCCCAATGGAAACCCTCTGAACAGGGATTTCTTCTGTAACCACCAAATCAGAGATTGATGGACCTGAGGGGGTATCTTGATAGGCTGAAGTGGACTTTTCGATCTGAATTGAAGGATGAAGTTCTTCTGAAAAAACCTCATCCTCCACTGGGCCCATCTTGTCAGCCCAATGGTGGAGGACATTGATCCCAATAGGCTCATGCATCTTTCTGCTGAGGTCACATTGGATGCCAACATGTCTTTGACTTTGTACATCAACTTCGTACCTCTTTCTGGAGACAGTTGCACTGTGCCTGCTAGAGTGTTGAATATGGCCCCCAAATATTTCATCTCCTGAACCGGCTGTAATTGGCTCTTGTTCTCGTTTATCTTCCAACCATGACGGCGTAGAAAACGTAGACAAACCTGTCCATGGGTCTGAAGAGTATCTGTGTCTTCTGCCAAGATGAGGATGTCGTCTAAGTAATGGTAAATGGCTATGCCCTTTTTCCTGAGTTCCGCAATCAAAACAACCAAGACCTTGGAGAATGTTCTTGGAGCTGTGCTGAGACCAAACGGCAGGGCTCGGAATTGAAAATGCCCTTGTTCCACCGCAAACCGAAGGAATTTCTGATGTTCTGGAGCGATGGGGATGTGGAAATAAGCGTCTGCCAAGTCTATAGAAATCATCCATTGGAGTGGAAAGACGACCTTTATGATGGATTGAATAGATTCCATCTTGAACTTTCGGATGAGGAGATGCCGATTCAGCCTGCTTAAGTCTAAGATAGGTCTCCAACCACCTGAAGCTTTTCTGGTGAGAAACAGGTGAGAGTAAAACCCTTGACCTTGTTGTTGCTGAGGAACTGGAATGATGACATTTCTTTCCTGGAGCGTCGAGATGAAATCTTTCAAGGCCTGTCTTTTTGCTGCGTCTCCTGGCCATTTGGTAGTTTGAAAGGAGAAAGCTGGAGGGGTTCTGAAAAATTCTAAACGATATCCCCTTCTTATGATATCCAACACCCATCTGTCTGTGGTGGATAATTCCCATACGTCTTGGAAAAGCAACAGACGTGCCCCCACACCTACTGACTGGGGGGGAAAACAGTCATAAAGATCTGGGGTTCTTGTGGAATGAGGTGCCCCTAGATTTACCGCCTCTGGATGACTGTCCACCTCTCCAAGGCTGGGATCTACCATGCTCTCTTCCTGGTTTGTAAGATCTGGCATCTCGAAAGGAAAAATAGTCTGGATATCTTTTGGATCGAAAGGAACCTCTAGGTTTACGATCCTGCGGGAGAAAAGCTTTTTTGCCTTCAGCTGCTCTTTTAATACATTCATCCAAGTTTTTCCCAAACAACATGTCGCCGTGGAAAGGTAAGGCACATAAACTAGATTTAGAAGAGGTATCTGCTATCCAGGACCTTAACCATAAAGCCCTTCTGGCTGAAACGGAGAGGGCCATATTTCTGGCAAAGGCTTTAACCAGATCCACCGAAGCGTCAGACGTAAAGTCTACTGCAAGCTTTATATCTTTTAGGCTTTCTAGAAGACTGGATCTGCTCCTGCCTCTTTGGATGTCTGCCTCTAGATTTTCCATCCAGATCTTTAAAGCTCTGGAAACTGAGGTAAGAGCGACAGCTGGATGGAGGCCTGTGCCTGCAGCCACGTAAGCCTTGGTGAGGTTCAGATCCATTTTCCTATCCATGGGATCTCTGAATGAACCTGCGTCGTCAACTGGTAAAGTAGTGTGTTTGGCCAGTCTTACTATGGCCGCATCTACCTTAGGAGCCGAATCCCAACAGCTGGAGTCTTTCCTCTCAAATGGATAAAGACGAGCAACTCTACCTTGAGAGGTCAGTTTCTTACGAGTATTAGACCACTCGTCTTCAATCAGTTCCTTGATTGTCTCATGAGCTGGAAACATAGCTCTCTTTTTCTTCAGATCAGCAAAATATCTACTAGAAGTAGAAGGTTGCTCAGAGGAAATTTCCTTGAGACTCAAGGATTTGCGCACTCTGGCTATTAAATGATCAACTTGAGCAGGCTCCATGAATTCTGGGGCATAAGATTCTTCTTCAGAGGAGGATAGCCCGTCCCTGTAGGAGTCTAAGGACTCATCTGAGGATTCTTCCTGAGAAAACCCCCAAGGGTTCAGCGAATCTTGGCCTCTTGTGGGACTTGCCAGCTTCTCTGATGCCCTGGGAGACCGCTTGTTTAATAAACTCCATCATATCTGGAGTAGGGGCAGTAGTGGAAGTGCCTGCGGCTGTAGAGAGGCATTCTGTGCAGAGACGCTTGCCTTCCAGAGGTTTATTGCTGCAGGCTTCGCATCTCTTCTTCATAGGCGACTTGCCTTTGGAAGTTCTGGATGCTTTAATTCCCGTAGAGCTGACATAATAGGGAAATATAATTAAACCATGCACTCTTTTGTTTTGTCTAGATAGAGAGAGGGAAAAATAATGGCTTACCTATAACCTTTGGATTGTGACCTTTGTTTATGAATGGAAGCCTCAGAGTCTGATGAGAAAGATTTGTCCATCTTCCCTGTCATAATATAGGAAGGAATTGAAATATTTATACTCAAAAAAGCATAAAAACTCAATCTGTGAAAAAAGGGAAATGTGCCTTTAAGAAATAAACCCATACCTGAGCAACAGAAATTGCAGGTTTGAAAGTTCGAACAAAACTGGAACAAAAGACGCTGCAAGAGCTCCCCAGAGTCCAGGCAACCTGAAACAGGTAAGAAAGTTCAACTTTGGCGCCTTTTTAAAGGTGGCGAGTGACGTCACCGATGACGTCACTGCGAACCCGGACGAACACCCCGCGCATGCGCACAATACTCCGCGCATGCGCGGAAGCTCGCAAGACGTGCCCCCTAATGTTCGCATGCGCGGAGGCGCAACAGACGTAGCTACCGGTCCGCGCATGCGCGGAAGAAGCCACGACGTGGCGGCCGGACCGCGCATGCGCGGGGGACCGGGAAAATGCGCCCACAGTCCGCGCACGCGCAGAGATAGGATAGGGAGGACCTAACCCATTGTTGTGCTGCCATGGATATGGCCAGGAAATATATATATATATATATATATATATATATACATATTTATTTAAATTATACAAATATATTTATAAAATATTTTTACATAATCAAGTCATTTTATTAATTACATTCTTAGGGACCTGCCTGACAACCCAGGCAGAAAGTCCAGAGAATTTGGCTTGCAAGCCCTATATTTAACCCTACAACTTTCTAGGACACCATAAAACCTGTATATAGGGGGTACTCTTTTACTAAGGAGACTTCGCTGAACACAAATATTAGCATTTAAAAATAGTAAAATATATCACAACGATGATATCGTCAGTAGAAATTCAGTTTTTTGCATTTTTCACACACAAACGGTACTTTCACTGATGATATTATTGTTGGGATACATTTTACTATTTTGAAACACTAATATTTGTGTTCGGTGAAGTCTCACGAATATAAGAGTACCCCCATGTACAGGTTTTATGGTTTTTTCAAAAGTTACTGAGTCAAATATGAGGCTTGAATTTCCTTTTTTTCACATTGAAATGTACCCGATTGGTTATGTTGCTTTTGAGACCATATTGTAGCCCAGGAATGAGAATTACCCCCATGATGGCATACCATTTGTAAAATTAGCGGTCAATTTAGTTTTTTGCATTTTTCACACACAAACAAATATGAATGCTAACTTTGTCCAGTGTTTGTGACTAAGTGGCTACTAGAAAAGACTGGACATACCCCATTTGTAATACCTTGGGCTGTCTACTTTGCAAATGGTATGCCATCATGGTGGTGATTTTCATTCCTGGGCTACCATTTGGTCTCAGTTGCAACATAACCAGTCTGGAAAATTTCAATGTGTATAAATTGAAAAATGTCATGTGCTATAATTGACCCTGTAACTTTCCAAAACACCATAAAACCTGTTCATTGGGGGTACTGTTTTACCCGTGAGACATCGCTGAATACAAATATGTGTACTTTATTGAAGTAACAGCTAACAGTATTGTGAAATTCACAGGTAAAATGCCATGCAGAACTAAAAACATAATTTCTTAATTTCTCATTTTTAAACATATTTAATTAATATTAAATTATGTTTAACATACAAATATATATATAGAGAGAGAGAGAG